GGCACTATTTTTAATCTCTGTGTTATGTAAGTGGAAGCAGAGCCCAGATAAGCAGAATAGTGTGCCGAAGATCACACAGCATTTAAGTAACAAATCCAATATTCAAACTCCAGTGAGGCTAGGGTGCCCCTTGCTGCAGGGGCTGTGTGCTGGACCCCTGTGGCCTGCTCTAATCAGGTATCCACATAGTAGAGAGAACAGTGGTCAGAATCAGAAGACCTGGGAGCCGATCCTGCACGATGCTGACGAGTTCTGTAACACGGAGAGCCATCTAACCCCCCTGAGACCCTGTCTCTTCCTATCAAAGCTGAGGTTAATCACAGCAGCCTTGCAAGTCACAAGTATCACGTGGAACCTACAGAAGTGTGGGGTTCCGTTTTGGAAAGTGAACAGCAGCTACACGAGGAATGCTGCATAGCTATGGCTTGACTGACCTTGCCAAGAGTAAAGTCCATGAGCAAGAAAAACAAACTCAAATGCACAGAGCCTACTGCCTGTAGGGTGTGGGTGGGGTGGGGTGGGATGGGGTGGGGGCTACATGTGTGTAACAGCTAACACTTTGGAGCAAGTATTGTTTACTGAGACTGTACCATGCACCATCGCTGTAAGTGGGCTAGCCATACCATCGGTGAGGACGAGTTGGGCAATTTTGCAATGTACTTTGAGTTTTACCATTGTGTGCCTTTTATAGATGCTTAGCTGTGGGTCGTTCTGAGTCACAGTGGCTTAATACTGTATCTCTACAGATGTCAGCAAAAGTTAGCAAAAGGCTGTGCATGAGGCAGTGATGTGGCCAGCCTGGGCTGCATCAGTTCTCTGCTCCCCTCCCCTGTCCTAGTTCCCGTGTCTCCCCTCCTCTCACTTGCCTGGAATTGTGCTCCTCTGCCAAACATTCGCCCCAGCAACTCTTGCTTTAGGCTTTGGGTACATTAGTTGGCTTTTTCTTTTTTCTTTTTATTTTCAGTACTGGGGTGAACTCAGAGCCTACACCTTGAGCCACTCCACCAGTCCTTTTTTTGTGAAAGCTTTTTCAAGATAGGGTGTCGTGGAACTATTTGCCCAGGCTGGCTTTGAACTGAAATCCTTCTGGTCTCTGCCTCCTGAGTAGCTAGGATTACAGATGAGCCACCGGTGCCTGGCAAGTCAGCTTTCTGCTAATATAATGGAGTATACCTCAGCAGACTACTTATGAAGGAAGGAGGTTTAGTAAGCTCACAGTTTTGGAGGTTTCAAGGGCACCGTGCATCACCTCAGTTCTGACAAGGTGTGTCATATCATGGCCAGTGACGATGGTGGCACAGCATGTAGCAGCAAGTATCACATGGAGAGACAGGAAGGAGTAGAGCTGGGTCAGAGCAGGCTCAGGCTTTTGTCACAACCTTTTCCTGGGAATTACCAAGGGTCCTATGAGAACGAACTTAATCCTTCCAGTAGGGCAGTGCCCTAGTTGACCTCAAAGTCTCCTGCTAGGCCTGCCTCTTAAAGGTTTCATACCCTCTCTTAGTACTTCCTTCCTGGAACAAGCTCTAGCACACAGACTCCTGGGAAACAAACCACAGCACTGGGTAAGACAGATTTAATTTAAATTTTTTTTGTAAAAGAAAACAGATTGAAATAGATATGATAGGGAAAAGATATAAATGTATACATGCCAACATTAACTGGATTGTCTTTCTTCATATTTTCTATTTAAAAATTTTAATCACTAAAAAAGATTATATTAGTTAACTGCTTAGGTAGACGTATTTCTTTCTCCTGAAATTAATAGACAGGATGTATAGACATAAACTGAGAAAATGTAGTGAGAATGAAAAGAATTTTTTTTTGTTCATATTGTTTTATTTTTTTTCTGCATTTTTTTTTTGAGACAGGGTCTTGCTATGTAGCCCAGGCTATCCTTGAACTTGCTATCTTTCTGTCTCAGCCTCCCCAGTACTGGGATTATAGGTGGGCACCACCACACCTGGCCTAAAAGAACTGTCTTTAATAGACATCCTATTACTGTGAATTCATAAGTAGCTTCAGATGTTTTCATAAGCTACTACTTGGTGCTTTATCATTTCAGTTTTATTTTCCTTAGGATTAAAGAAATAATACTGATTTTCACATGTTGGAGCAACAATCTATCAGAATATACAGAAATGCAGTGAAAATATTGGGCATAGTTAATACATTTTAGTTATTCTAAAACTCTCTTAGGTTTTTAAGATACTTTACTTACCAAAATTTCAAATATGTGTAAGAGTGTTTCATCCTGAGGTTCATCCCAGATGAAATCCACTCAGGGATCCTCAAAAAGTCTCTTTTGGCATAATCCAAAATGCCCAGTCTATGAAGAGAATCCTAAAACCAGCAGCATTCCCCAGAAGCCAAAGTCAAGCTTACCAAAATAAAAACTACCTTGGAGTTTGGGAGCATTTTTCTGATAAAGGGTTAAATTTGATTTCCACTTCCATACCAGTGGTCTCATTTGTGGTGAGATGAGGCTGGCAGAGCAGGAAGGGACTCTGGACAGTTATCCCCTCCACATAGCCTGAGGCCAGGCCATTGAATGTGCTCAGGTTCTGAATGGATAGCCATGACTGAGCAGGCAGTACTTACACTTCAAAAAACGACCAGAAACCAAGTCAGCTATTCACACAACTTGTCTATTTGATATATGAGAACCTCACTATTGAAGACTTAAACTCTTTTTAGAAAGGATTAAATCTAGTACTCTAATGTTTTCTGGAATGATCTTTTAACTTTTGCTCATCTTGGCTGTGTTGGAGGAAGAGTGAGAGCAACTGGTGCCTAATTATGTTGTTATTTCCCCGAATGTGTTCATGGAGTCATTTTAAAATCTGTTTCCTCCAGTCCCATGCTGTAAAGCACTTGAACACAAGGAACCATGACCTATCCATGGCAATTGCATCTCTATAGGGCTAGGCCCAGTGTCCTGTGATTCCCAGCCGGGGCTATGGAGTTGGACTTACTGGGCTTGAATCCTGGTTCTGCCATTCACTGTCCATTTGCCTTTGAGCAAGTGAGTTGATTTTACATAGGGTAACTTGACTTCTCTTTATCTTCATTTCCTCACCCGTGAAATGAAGGTGATTTTAATATCCACCCTGTACAGAAAGTGCCTAGTAAATAACTTTCACATAGCAAACTTTCATTAAATGCCGACTACCCATAGGTGCTCAAAAGTATTGGAAAAAATGTAGTAAGGAGAGAGATGGTCATCACAAAGAAGAAGGGAGTGATTCTGAAATCTTCTGAGTCCCGGTTAGTTCACATTGCAGACACTCAGCCACATTTCTCACGCTCATGGAAGGAAGAGGACGTGTAGTCAACCTTAAAAAAATTTTTTAACAGCAGCTCTGCATTGTACTGTGAAATTTGCATAAATAAGGCATTGTCTGCTCTAAAAACTTAGGGTACATACTTAGTCACATTATTTCTTTTTCCCAATTAATCTCTGAAATACTCACATGCCACATGAAAAGAACGTATGAAGTCTCCACCTTCCAACAAGAGTCCTGGCCCTGACTCAGTCTGAAGGGTCAGATCTTCCAAACGCCAAGTGCAGAGAGAAAGGGCCTCCCATTGTCATACACTTCCCACTGCTCCTGCTGCCCAGAGATGGCCCCTCAGCAGGGATGGAATTGCAGGTTTCTGGGCAGCTTCCAGGCAGGGCACACTGGAGCTCCTGGGCTGATGCATAGCTCACAAGGTCAGGGTCACAGCAGTCTCGCTCTCCAGTCCAGCAGCTGCTGCCAGTGAAACCCACACGCTTCCAGGTCAAGTCAGCCCACGCTAGGATGCCAGCCCCTTTCTCAGACTCGAGATCATCACCTTGCTATCCCTCATCCCTCCTCCCATTAATCACTCCCTTTTGTGGGGATTTTTCACCCAAGCTAATTTGTCTGTCTGGCATTATTTTGCCAAGGTGGCCATAACAAAGAGCCAGACTAGAAGGTTCAACGACAGACACTTATTTCTCTCACAATTCTAGGGACTAGAAGTCTGAGACCAAACTCTGGTTTCTTTCGAGGCCTCTCTCCTTGGCTTGCATCTGGCTGGCTTCTTGTGCAGATGGCCGGTGTCTGTCTCTAAACACTGTCACATCTGAGGAATTGGTGTCAGGATTTCAACATGTCACCTCTGGGAGGAGGAGATGCAGTTCAGCCCATAATACCAATTAATTCTGCATACTTAGGGAGTAAGTTAACTTGTTTAGGAAAGAGAAAAATAGAGGAACCATGTGTGCCTGAGAGGGTGACACTGTCTTTCAGGGACAATGGATGTCCTGTGCTTAGAAAGGTGGCCACTTAGGTGACTGTTCAAATATCTGAAGTGACTCTATGAAAGTCATGAGCCCACAGAAATAGAGGCAGCAGTGCTCCTCTGGCTGAAATGGTAGTGGGGGAACCAGACCCCTTCACTTCCTCCTTACAAATCCCCTCTCCCAGGCACAGTGTAGACTCCTCTGCCTGAAGGACTCCAGGGGTCCTAACTGCTTCTGTTATTTTTCCACAAATACATAGTTCACCAACATTTGCAGCAGGAACAATGATGCCATCTAATGCTCCTCAGATATGTTGCTAGTACCCAGCTCCGTCTCACCATCAAGTTGTCTGGGATGAGTTCCCATAAGCCTGCAGACACTCCAGCGTTCGTGCAACCTGCCGTACTTTTCCACTTTGCTTCTTTTTAGAAATGGGCTTGGTAATCACCCTGCTCAACTGTGATACCCAAGAAAAGCTGAGAGGGTAAAGTTAGATGCAGCTGCCCTGTGACCTGTTTGCACACACCAGGTCAATAAAACTCAGGCAGAATGACAGTGACAGCTGCCTTGTGGTGTTCAAAGGGAATTGAGCAGGTCTGTTTGGAAGCCTTGGGGACGAGTATATCATTACAGCTGGGCTGCTCAGAAAGAAGTCACCTAAACCTACTTCTCCTATGCCCACCTAAAGGCCTGTCTTGGAATCTGCAAGGTTTAATCAAAACTCTCCTGTCAGCTGTCTTCATACTGTGACCTCCAGGCCACACCTCTACCCTGTCCTTGCCTGTCACAACCTGGCTTTTAGCAGTTGGGGTAGGACAAACTCCCAGCCCTGAAGGAGACAGAGAAGAGGAAAAGGAAAGGAAAACACGATGGGGGCCAGGCAGTCAAGGGCCAACTCCAAGGACAAGGACCCCAAGCAGATGCTGCTCCTGGGAAGGAGGAGACAGAAGTTTACTTCGTGGGATGACACCCTGCTCTTGGGAAAGGACCCACGGTCCCTGCTGAAGCGGGGCATGCGCCATGTCAGCTTCAGCCTGGTCACAAAAGGAATGACAGACATCCCGGACTTTCTGTGGGGCTTAGCTGAGGTCCAGAAACTCAATCTGTCTCACAACCAGCTCCGAGTCCTCCCTCCTGAGGTGGGAAAGCTGACTCGGATCGTGGTCCTGAACTTGTGTGGGAACCGCCTGAGGAGTCTACCCAAAGAAATCAGCCTTCTTCAGAGCCTCAAGGTCCTGTTCGTGAACATGAACCGCCTGACCGAGGTGCCGCCCGAGCTCAGCCTCTGCAGAAACCTGGAAGTGCTGAGTGTGTCGCACAACTGCCTGTCCCAGCTGCCCGCCAGCTTGGCTGACCTGTCCAGATTGCGGAAGCTGAACCTCAGCAACAACTGTTTCGTGCACATCCCTCTCTGTGTGTTCTCCCTGAAGGAGCTCGATTTCCTGCACGTGGGCTCGAATCGCCTGGAAAACATCGCTGAGAGCATCCAGTGCCTGGCCAGCCTGCAGATCTTCATCGCAGAGAGCAATAACATCCACTCCTTCCCACGGTCACTCTGCCTCGTCACAAGCCTGGAGCTGCTGAACTTAAACTACAACGACATCCAGACCCTCCCGGATGAGCTCTACCTGCTGTGTAGACTCAGGAGGATCGCGTGGAATCCCATGAATAAGGGGCTCCACATTTCCCATAACCCTCTCTCCAAACCCCTACCGGAGCTGGTGGAGGGGGGTCTGGAGATGCTCTTTAGCTACCTGAAGGACAAAAAGCACAGCTGACGTGGACCTCAGAGGCGTGCACAGGAGCCTGGACTCAGTCAGCCGGGTACTTCTCTGATCTAAGCCTCCTGAGCTTGCTGGTGTTGTCTGTCAGTGTTTTGCTACTATTTGTTGTTAATGGGAGGTATTTGCTTCTAACTCTGTTTGTCCTCAGTACTCTTCAGGATAGTATTTTCATCTCATTCTAAAAAGAAGTTGAGACAGGCTTTTGTTTTCACCAAACAGAATGAATTGTTCTAATTCTTCTGAGGAGCTGTAAGATTCAGCCCTTGATAGAGTGAATAACAGGTCTTAACTCAATGGAAAATTCAAATGTCAGTTGTGTACCAAGTATGTACTGCGTGCCAAGTTCAGTGTGAAGCATGGAAACTGTTCAGTTTCAGGTGGTTTTGCCCTTGGACTTGTGACCAGGTGGCAGCAGCAAGACATACTTCTTGTCCGTTTCTATCAAGTTTCACTTGGGACCAAAGGACAAGCTAGGGCGACTCAGTGTTATCAAGGACCAAGACAGGCATTGCTTTCCCTTCGAGTTCTGGGGAAAGACTCCTCAGAATTTTCCTTTAAAACCTGCAGGGTAATAATCATCCTGCTCCTACTTGTCTGGGGGAGAAATAGGAGTGTCACAGTGGCTGTCAGACAATAAACACAAACAACTTCAATGTGTAGTTTTGACTTCTTTCCCCACCACCTCCCACGTATGGCAACCTTTCTGCATGACTTTGCTATAGACGCGGACCAAATAAAATGATCCTATTCTAATTTCCTCCATCCTGAATTTACTTTCTCAGAGAGAAGATAATCACTGGGGGATAAAAATGACCAAAAGGCAAGTAAGGCATAGGCAAGCCACACACACACACACACACACACACACACACACACACACACACACACACAATTACCATTTTAAAATTCAGAAAGGAAAAATATTTGCTGCTTGGCTTTCACATGTGGGTATATGGACAAAAGCCTCTGTAAAAGCATTAAGCTTGTTTTGGTTTTGATTGTGAGCACACATAGTTGCTAGCTAAACACAGACATAAGGACCCACCATGACAGTGCTCCTGCTTCAGGGTCACTGACCTCACAGTCATCACATCAGTTAAGAGCACCAGGACATTAATATTTATTTAGGGTTCTAGAATTAAAATGAAAAGGTGGCAGCGAAGAAGGGATCTTCAGGTCCATGATGAGCCAATTGCTCTGGTTTCTCTGCACATTAGTCTACAGAAAATGTTAAACAATAAATAAATAACATGACTTTGAACTTGAAATTGCTGCCGAAACTTACGTAGCTTCATCTTATCTGTACCTTATCTAGTCTGCACACGGGACTGGGAACCTGAAAGGAAAGACATCGTGTTCCTTCTGCCAAGGACCTCACAGTTTGGTGACGGAGACAGGAATACATGGGTTTTTACCATGTGCAGCAAACCATGTTCCATGCTGGAGGGAGCTACACACAGAAGGTTGAGGTGAGGTTAATGAGATACTGGATGGTGTAGACTAGCCCAGGTGCCAAAGTCTAAGGAGCCAAAGAACTGCAAGCATGAGCACAAATGGGATGGATCAATCAAACCCTCTGTGCTCAGCAACCATCCAAGTCTAACCCTCCTCCTCCCCCCTCCCCATTTGGAAGGAGTAGCAAAGTGATTGGGTAACGAGTAACACTGCTTTCCTACTTATTCTAAGAGCTGCTCAAAGGGCATCCCAATAAGTTATTCATAGAAGTGATTTTTTTCCCAGTAGATCCCAAGGTCAATGTTCCCATTCACAAAAGAAGAAGCCAACTCTTACTGTTATCATCAGATGTCATAGCTCTTTCACACATTTGTGCACCAGCCCTTCTGCGGAACTACTGTAAATCAACCTCACCAGTGTTCCTTGGCGGCAGCTGTACAAGTCACTTTTAAAATCCCCCTATCTCCCGTGCTCAGCAACTGGAGACCTCACATCCCTGCCAACCATACACAGGCACACTCCAAAGTCCTCCCCCACACTGGTCTGTCAGAGCCAAGGCTATTTAAAAACATCAGTGGAATCCACACTTGACCTGCTGACTCCATGGCAATGCTAGGGCAAGCCTGGCTCTGCAGAACTGGGCAGGTCACTCACAGAAGCTTTGGCTGAGGCACTTGCAGCTGTCAGGCAGGCCCCTGTGTGTGCCAGCCTCACTCCCACGAGTGCCCAGTGCTGAAGAACCGCTCAGGCTTATGCTGAATTTGTATGACCTTGCTGTGGGCAGAGGCGTGGGCAAGGCCAGCAGCCCTGCTCCTTTCCTGCTGAGCAATCATTTTATTTTCTATCCAGCCTTCTCAGTCACTTGATCCCATAGTAACTCTACTCCAGGGAAAGAAAGCAACCGTATTTTGAAGGTGACCCAAGAGCTTATTATTTTATTTTACAAGAAAATATATGGTATCACTTTGGCTGCCAGCTTCCATTGGTGCCTTTCAAAAGAGATAGCAGCAAGGTTTTCTTTGTTAACACTCAGGATTGAGGAAATTATAAAGGTGTAGAAGTTGCCCATTGTGCTTTGGATATAAATTCTCTGAGAATGCTTCTTTTTATTGATAAAGGGAAGTGCTGAGCAAAAACACTGATGAATGGCTTAATTATTGAAAACCCACGTGGAGGGAATTTGATATAACCTTTGGCATTCTTTGCTATCCATTTTGATAATTTGATGTCTGTCTGTGAAAGGCGTCTTGCTTGTCTGTCATACTTCTCATACTGCCACATTCAAGTAACTCGCAGGGCTTTACAGGACTTCTGGAATCAGAGCACTGAAGATGACTGCACTGGCTGTGGAGGATACTTTGTGGAAGAATACAGGCTAATTGGTGCTTGATGTGTGCGGGGAGCTCACTGCTCCCATCTTTGATGATGTTGTGGTTTTCAAGTCCCTGTGCTCCGGGCGGAGAGGGATGTCTGTGTGTGTTCAGAAATACCTTTCAAGGCAGTTGCCGCATATAAGCACCCGATTAAGCAAAAACCCTCCGTTCCTAAGAAAGGAAGAAGGCTGAAAAGACATCTGTTCAAGGAATAATACTGCTAAATGCATAATACTGCTAAATGCATAATACTGCTGCATAATTAAAAGGAAAAACATCATCATTACCTAGCTTGTTGACTTAGTATGCGGTTAATGAAAATAAAAGCAATGTGCTCCATCCTCAGGCTTTGGTTAATAGATTGCCTTTCTGTAGTAACCATAAATAGAGTGGCTTCAGGATCACACACCTGGATTTCACAACGAAGTCATGCCTGCACTGGGAAAGAGAGAATACTGTCATAATTTGTAGGGACAGATGAAAAGAAACTCTTTTCTTCTGGCAGTGGATTATTGCATTTTGGAATTCCATCTCATATGTCCCTCAAAGCACCTACCAAGCATGCATTTTGATATCCAAGCGCAGGAAAAAGGGTTAGACTTAAAGGACTGTAAGTTTTCACTGGAAACACACTCAGGTCTCGAGTCTGAGGTTATGGGGTTGAGGGAGGCTTGCAGGATGGACTGACTGTTTTTCTTTGTCATATACTCAGGCTCTAGGGAGTCCCCTGTCTGGATGAAGTCACTGAGATTCTGTTAAAAATGGTTAAAAAAATACTGAATGAATTCAAGAAATGATCTGAAAAAGAAACAAAAGAAGCAAAGACCCAAGCTGGAAGATGAAGACATGAAATCCCGAGTGATGACAACGGTGTCTAAGCAATTGTCCTAGTGCCAACTTCTTACTCCAGGAGCCAATGTTTTAGCACTCTGTAACTCACAAAATGAGAAGCACAAAATCTCCAGCACGATGTTCCTTTTATCTGTCAAGTTATGTGTTGAATCCCAAGCACTACTAATTCTTTTAAAGAACAACACAGTAATAAAAAGAGGAAGCAGAGAGGGCTAGTAATTTATTTGTAAGAGCTCAGCATGGCAGAGTAGGGTGAGTATATGTGAAAGCGATTAGCATGAAGCTTCCTAGGCAGGTTCTAGTAGTGTGCAGGAATCTCCTTGCAAGGAGAAAGATTATTTCCTACAGCTTCTAGACTCACTCCTATTTCAGCACAGGGCAGAAAATAAAAGGTGAGCTGGAGTAGTAGCAAAGCATTTCCCGATACTCATGAGAGAACTGTACATTATGAAGTGTGCACGGTTTTCTTTGATTGTGGAAGCTAGACTTACCAAGGGAAGTCACAAAATCACCCACTTTCTTTGGTCTCTAGTGACTCGAGCTCCTCAGAACTCAGTGTGCCAGCCATATCACTTGGGGACGTCTCTGTTCCCTTCTGGTCTCCTGAGTGCCACACCCCCATCTCCCATACAGATGCAGCACGGAGTGGTGGAAGAGAGCCTGGACTGAGACAGGTGTGTAGATGGCTCAGCACTTATTGAGACTGTGCAGGTGCTGGGGACACAATGATGAACAAGCTACGACATCACTGTCTCCCTTCCCACACCAGGAGTTCTCAAGTCCATGAGCAAAGATAAGGCTCCACTGAGCACAATTGTGTTTAGAGGTGTCAGCAAGGGTAAAGGCACTTGAGTGAGGTAGGTTGGCAGCAGGATGGCCGGACTGAATGGTGTGGGACACACACTGTCCGATGTGACTGTTCCAGACCCAATACCTCCTTTGTTTTGATTTATCTTGATGGAAAATCCATGAATCCCAATGCACCAGAGCAGACTTCTTCATGACTCCTTTGTGGCATTTGTCGTTTGTCTCTTCTATCAGAATCTAAGATGTTGGGTTGGAACATGGCAGGAGAGGGGTATATTATGAGCCCTGGTGGCATCTTGTGTCCTGGGTTTGAGAGGAACTTCTGAGCCTCTCATCTGCTGTGTTAGGGATTGTGTCCTTCCTGCATTACCGGCTAGTGTTCTGCAAGAAGTCAGGTTGGCAGTGGCCCTCAATGTTGGCTGCTCATCAGAATCCCCACCCCCTCACTCCGGATTATTTTAAAAAGGAGGCTTGGGCTTCAAATGGCAATTGGAGAGGTTCCAAAATAGTTGGTCTGGGATCTAGGCTTCCTAATTTTATTTTTTATATTTTGGTGGTACTGGGGTTTTTACTTGGCTTCATGCTTGCTAGGCAGGCATTCTACCACTTGAGCCATGCCTCCAGCCCTGCTGTGGTTATTTTTAAGATAGGGTTTCACTTTTTGCCCAGGCCAACTTGGTCTGTGACCATCCTATTTTATACTTCCTGCCACAGCTGGGAGGACAGATACACACTACAGCACCCAGCTATTGGTTAAGATGCGGGTCTTGTGAACTTTTTTGTCCCAGCTAGCCTGGAACCATGATCCTCCCGATGTCGGATGTCAGCATCCTAAGTAGTGAAGATTGCAGGTGTGAGTCACCTTAAAACTACTGAGTTTTAAAAGGCTCTGTAAGTGCCTCTTGTTGCTCATTCTAGGTTAAGAAATGCTGATGTCAGTTCTTATCCAAACAGCCAGCCATGGGGCTCTTCAGCTAATAGGGCCATTAGCCAGGCACTGGGAAGAGGCTCCGTACATTGGAGCCCCTCTGGGGCCCTATGATCAAACTCATTTGGGCAACTGTGAAAAATGTAGAAGCCTAGCTCCCTTGAGATGCTCTCAGATTCATGGGGTCAAAGGGAGGATCTGGTTTGTGCAGTTGGATGAAGCAACCCAGGTGTCTCTGGTGATGAGAGGCCAGAGACAATCTGCTCCAGCAGAATGTGTGCCCCCTGGAAAGTGGAAAGCTCTGGGTTTGTATTCAACTTCTGAGACTCTTGATGATCTCTGCCCTGGAAGCTGACCTTCTGGATGACTGTGACCTCTGCATCCAGCACAGGGCAGAAATTCAATAGCACTGTGTGCAGAAATGGATGGGAAGCAGTGAGGATGAGCAGATTTCTTCACCTCTAGGGGCCTCAGTTTTCTAGAATTAAATAACTGCACTTACCTAAAAGTGAACTTACTGTAAACTCCTTTTAGCTTTGAAATTCTAGACTGTTTTGTTTTTTTTTTTACCTTGTCTTCCTCTTATTTAATGTCTTGGTAAATAGATACCTGAGCAGACAATTGCTGTGATTGTTTAAGAAAAAGCAAAATAACATTGTGGAGATGGTCAAAATCAATCTGAGTACTTTAATGTCTCCTTACAGCATCATAGATAGTATAATTTTAATTTTGGTTGAGGTTCAAAAATATAAAATGAGTGAGGCTTGTGTTATGGGTAAATCAGGGAATTTTCTAACCTCCAAATTGCCTAAATTCTTTCTCTAATTTTTTTTAATGGACTAGAGGCTCAGAGGGACAAGTGTGCTTGGCTTTGTTGGTTGATTAAAAACTTCTCCAGTCAGGCACAGTGCCTGTGATCCCAGCTACTCAGGAGGCAAAGGTCAGGAGGATGGAGGCTTAAAGCCAACACTGACAAAAAGTTAGTGAGATTCCATTTCATCCAATAAAATCTAGTGTGGGGGTGTGCACCTGTCATCTCAGCTGATCAGGAAGCATAAACAGGATTGTTATCCAGGATAGCTGAAGTAAAAGACACAAGACCCTACCTGAAAAATAACTAAAGCAAAAAGGGCTAGAGGTATGGCTCAAGTGGCAGAGCGCCTGCCTAGTAAGTGTGAGGCCCTGAATTCAAACCCCAGTACCGTACCACCAAACAACAGCATCAACAAATAACAACAACAACAAAACTTCTGATGTATGTTTCTAAGAGAAATGAAATCCCTAATAATCTCTTTTTCCCTCAGAAAGAACCTATTGAATGTGATTCGTTATTATGATTCAGGTGCTAAGAGCTGAAATCTTTGCCCTTTAGGGGTAAAAAAACCCCACCAAAACTGTAGTAGACTGCGCTCTAATGTGTATGATAAGGAAGCGTTAGCATGAAGTTCACACCACCACCAAGGGACATCCCTTTCCTTGCACACATGTGTCAAATTTGAACTTTGCTATAAATTTGCAAAAGCAGCGCATATACACATGAAACTGCAAAACAACTCTTCTTTGGTTTTTACTAATATTGCCTCTCTCTCCATCTCCACTGTTTGGTCAAAGTAGCACATTATAAAATCAGAATCTAAAGGCTTTAATTTGTTTTTTGATTAACCTCAGTTATACAAGGGTAAGTTGTAATTGTGTGTGATTAAAATTCTTTTTTTTTTTGGTGAGAATAACGTATTTTTTTTATTCATATGTGCATACAAGGCTTGGGTCATTTCTCCCCCCTGCCCCCACCCCCTCCCTTACCACCCACTCCACCCCCTCCCGCTCCCCCTCTCAATACCCAGCAGAAACTATTTTGCCCTTATTTCTAATTTTGTTGTAGAGAGAGTATAAGCAATAATAGGAAGGAACAAGGGGTTTTGCTGGTTGAGATAAGGATAGCTACACAGGGAGTTGACGTGTGATTAAAATTCTTGAATAATTCTTGAATACATGCAGGGAGAGTCATGCCAGGGGTAGGCCACTTTTTCGACTGTGCATTGGGGTGGCTGTACCTTTCTGGAGAGATCTCACTTCCTTCATAGCTCTCCCCTTGAGCACAATAATCAGATCCTTTTCGTGGCTTCCTGGATGATTTTTTTGTGTGAGAGTTGTCGGCTGTAGAATACTGGGAGACCTTGGGTATTCTCGGTCCCAGAGAAGACAATGCAGATTCTGTTCTGTCCTCTGAAAAAAAGAAAAACTATGAAGCCCTGGTCCTACTTACTCATTGTGCAGGCAACCCAGAGTGGGCTCCATGTCATTTTGGGGCACTTGAAACACCCCTTTGATTAGATATTAGACAAATAATAACCTCCTAAATGGTAGAAGTCTACTCTACCAGGAGGTCATTTGCATGTCAAGCTCAGGTAGTCAACATAAGTCGAAGATTCCAGTTAGTGTCATGCATTTTATTAATTTATTCATAGGGGAGAGTTTTAAGTTATATGATGATTAATGAATGATGAATCCACCCATGCATCCATCAATTCATTCATCCATCCATCCATCCATCCATCCATCCAACAGCATCTTCCTTATCTACAATTTTGTTTTCTGCCATTTTAGTTATCCATAGTCTGTGGTGATCTGATATATTAAATGGGAAATCCAAGAAAGAAACAACTCAATAGTTTTAAATTGTGTTCCACTTTGAGTAGCATAATGAAACCTCACACCCTCCTGCTCACAGAGTGTGAATCATCCTTTTGGGCAGCGTATCCACACTGTATATACTACCCACACTTAGTAGCCATTTACTTAGTAGCCATTCAGTCATAAGAACCACTGTCCTGGTGTAATGTAGAAGAGAGACACCATATTCACTTAAGTTTTATTATAGTTCATTATAGTTGTTCTATTTTATTGCTAGTTATTATTGTGCCCAACTTATCAGTATAAGGAAAAATAGTACATCTAGGATTTGCAACTATCATCAGTTTCAGACATCTGCTGGAGGTCTGGGAAATAGAT